TAAAATCCAATGTGCGATATTTTTTTAATGGCATGCAATTCCTGCAAACTTTTTGAAGACCTCTTGTAGCAGTTCAGAACACAGAACACACACATATACGATGAATCACATTTTGACCAATCTTGGTCAGGGCAATCCCAGGTACAAGGGAAGTTTGATTGGTGCTGGATCAAGTGGATTGCCACATGGAGAAAATAAACCTCATCCCCTGCCTCACACCATACACAAATATCAACTCAGCATGCCTAGGCTCTGACACTTTCAAAGAAAGTATTGTATCGCATTTCAGCCCAAAGATTTAGATCAAGAATATAAAAATAACTTTCAGGGACGGTGTGATGGTACTGTAAGCTTATCATCAATCATGGCACTGGTATCCCAGCTGCTCCCCTCTCTCGATCCAGCTCCCTGCCGATTGCCTGAGAAAGTGGAGGAGAATGGCCTCCAGGCTTCTGATCCAGCTGCCGGCTAGTGTAGTTGGGAAAGCAGCAACCAATGACCATTCACTGTATTTCTGACTTTCCAATAAAAACAAATAAATCTTTTTTAAAAAGAAGAAGCAAGCTGTGCATCTAACCTCTGCTCTACCTACTTCACTCTTGAGAATCCATACATAGAAGCAAAACAGGTCATGCCTTAAGGACATGAGTTTGAAAGAATTTGTCACAGCATTGCTTCGACACAATATAAATGCAGAAATAAAAGCCACTTGGAGCATGGCTCGGTAAGGCACCAGGGCTGTGTCTCACCAGGCACCACTATGAAGCCATCACAGGTGTGACTGGAATGTCTGTGTTCACCTGCTGTATGTGTAAGGGAGTAACACAAACTTCAGTGGCAGTGAGCTAGGTGGGTGACATGGATGTGTGGGTGAATTTGTCCCTCGCACCTGCCCTGTATCAGATGAAGATGGCTGCTTGCCCCAGTGTTATCGCTAGTTACCAAAGCAGAGGGACAGGGTCACAGCAAAGTGACTGTGGGTGGTCTTACGGGCTTTCCCAGCAGGTCAGCGTTCTGGTGGGAGGCACTCTTCTGACTTCCTGCTGGTGGACAGAACAAATGAGCTCTCTGCAAGCAGGCTTTGCCTTAAGATTCAGGCTTCGCTGCATTACAGTTCTAGGACCCGGGGGTGGAGGAGCTAGCCTCTCTCAGAAGGGTCTGGAGATGCTGCAGACCAGTGCTCTTCCAGCACAGGTATTTTCTATCATCCAAACTGCCTCTCTTTGAGAGCCTGTCTCCCTTAATGGGTGTTGGAGCTGCCTCAAGGACAACCCAATAGTTACCAAAGAGGCTGGACTGGAAGAGGGAAAATATTATATGTTTCTATTTAAAAATCATGAGTTACCTGTCTGATCCAAAAGAAAGTGGAAAGGGGGGCCAACAATTGGTGCAATAGGTTCAACTGCTGCTTATAAGGCAGCCACTCTATCTCACAATGCCCACTTGAGTCCCAGCTGCTATGCTAACTATTTAGCTCCCTGCAAATGCACCCGGGAAAGCAGCAGAATGGGGCCCAAATAGCAGAGCTCTTGCCATCCATGTGTGAGAGACCCAGATGGAGTGCTGGTTTCTGGTTTCACCCTGGCCCAGACTTGGCTCTTCTGGCCATCTGAGAGAATGAACCAGTGATGGAAAATCAACTTCTCCCTCTGCCTCTTCCAAGCGAATAAATCCTTTTAAAATAAATGACATGAATAGCCTAGAAATGAAATAAAGGCAAGATTCCACCTACAGTGAAAACGATCTAAAACAATACACAATCTGAAAGGTTAAATGGAGCCAGAGAAGCAGAGGCAAGACTGGGAAGGGTGAGAAAGTGCTGAGGAGTTGGGTAGGCAGTGTTAAAACCGTGAGTCGCGAGGCCATTGTACTGAGGTGGCCCTGATGCCCTGGGCCCCCAGTGAACAAAAGGAAACCTAACTCAAATGCATTTCCAGTAAGTGGCTGACTTACAGAAAAGCTAAACTGAAGCAAGCTGGACAAGCTGACTCCCCCACCAACAGAGTCCAAATAAGGCAATAACTGCACCTTGAAGCAGTCAAGATGTCACTTAGCTCTGCTTCTGCATCCTCTGAGTTAAGCCTTCCCCCCTGGCTCCTTAGGCTGAGCCTGGAGCCACTTCTAGGATCCAACTGCCCGGTTCAGGAACGGCTATCTGCTCCCATGCATCCTTAAAACCTTAATGTACCCCAGGTTATCTTTTGGCAGCATGAGTAGTTATTTCCCATGCTGACAACTTCATAAAGAAGCATTGAGGGCAAACATGAGCAGAAAACAACAGATAGGCAGGCAAGGGCGTCGCCTCCACTAGAAGTGAGTGTTTAATGTGGGGGGAGGTGCTGGGTGCCTGGTTGCATCTCCATGCTTCAGGCATGGTTGCCTTCAGCTGTCCCAGCAGCACAGCCTCTGTCCCCTGCAGGATGGTGCTGGTACTGACCACTGCCCAGATGTGCTCTGAAGTCAACATCTGGGCATTGCTCTCCATAGACACAGAGACTCAAGGAAGGTGGGGTGGTCCAAGGAGCATTGCGGACCCCAGGTCTCCAGTGTGGTCCTATATGTGGGCTGCTCTTGTCTAATACCGCACGTGCTTCGCATCCCAGACAGTCAGTGGTTGCTTAGACACTCCTCCTCGTCCCATTTTCTCTGCTTTTGGAGGCAGTCAGAACAGCCTTGTCCCCTGACCAAGGTCTCAGGTCACCCAAGGTCAGTTCCTGAGCCCAAGCACCTCTGCTTGCAGAGCCATGCAGGTACACAATAGGTACAAGGCCTCCCTGCTCTTTCCCAGCCCTAAATCTCAGCCTAGAGCAGCCCAGGATGCTCTACAGCCTGTTTGGGTAGACAGTTGGCCAGGGCTGGTGGGGAAGAGGGCCTCCTGACTCTCACCTTGCCTGGGGTCCAGCACAGAGTCTATGGTCTGAGATGGGCTTGGCAGGCCAGCCAGTAGCCACCTCTATCTGCTTAGGAGCCAGGCTTCCTGGAGACTTTGATGAACCCACAGACAGATCTAGCCCTCCCATCAGCCATCAGCTGCACCCATGGGAGATCTCTCTCTGCGTGCACCCCCCAGGGACATCAGTCCTTTCTCTGTGTCGCCCACAGGGTCTGAGCCATAGCATGAATCGAGGCCTAGCCGCAGAACTCCAAGACTAGATCTTACAAGCATGTCAGGAGGGCTTCATTGCTGGTCCTCTCTACCCTCAGCCTTTCCTACTCAGAGCCAAGCCTGGATTCAAGTGGTAACCAACAAGCACTCTCACAGACTCAGAGCCATGGCTTCCCAAGTGGAGTTAGCAGAGACGGCCAGGTCTTCTCAGTGTCAGGGCAGAATAAATGCAACAGATGTGGACTCCAGACGGTGTCTGTGGCCTCCCGCCTCTTCCCTTACTTTGCCCCTGCCGTCTGGCTCATGCTTGTGGCCTGCACATAGTGCAGTTGTGTGACCATATGTCACTTTGGCATTAAACAAATCCTAATGAGCTATGAACGTGTTTGCTTTAGCTAATTGACCTCTTTGGCCTTCATTCTCTACTTGGCAAACATGCTCAGCCAGTGACACCCAGAGGGCAGATTGTGGCTTACTAGTGTGCAGAGAAGCCCCACCCCACCCACCAGGCCCTTAGACCACCTTCTCCTGGGATCCAGCCTACTAAGACACGTGTGCTGGCCAGTGAGGAAGGACAGAGCTGGGGTGGCTGTCCCACTCACCCTCCTTGGACTCTGCTGTATTATGTGGGCCCTCCCAAAAGGAGGCACAGAGGGGCCCTAGGTTGTGGCTCCAGAGTGTATCCTTGGATACTTGTGGCAAGTCAGGCCACAAACAGGACTCAGATCACTCCCATGAGAAGGAGCAGGCACCAGGAGCCTGCAGGTCCTGCTGTGTCAGTGCATCTGGGATGAGCTCCCAGTTGTGCGCCAGGCAGTGGTGGTGGTGGTGTGTGTGTGTGTGTGTGTGTGTGTGTAGGGGGTGTGCATGGAGGGTCATCTGGATTCTATGAGCTGAAGCCACCCAAGCCCTTCGACCACTCGGTTCTCCCTGCAAGAGCCAGTCTGAGGGCTGAGTCCTTGATCAGCACTGATCTCCTTTAGCCAAGAGAAGGACGCTCTCTGTGTCCTTGAGCTGGTGGGATGCTGGAATCATGGTCCCAATGGGTCTGCAAGGTCAGCACCCCTCCTATTCACCCCTCATACAATAAGGTCCAAATATTCCATTTCTCCAAGATTATGGACAACATAGTCCCCAGGACACAGGAATGAGGGCCAGGTCCCCGAGTTTTAATGGCAGCCTCACTCCCCAGCCCTGTACTCCTAGGCGGCCATGCACCCTCACCTTGTTCCTGATTTCTTCCAACCCCCACAGCTGCCCCCACCCAACATGGTGGGTATCAGTCACTGACACAGCTCTCTGGCCTGCTTCCTTAACTGGGAGGCAGGGATGCTTCCTAATGCAGAGAACCTGACTGAGCACACCTTACATGCCGAGAATTACAAAACGCCATCTACATGCCTTCTTGTTTAATCTGCGCTAATAGTGAGGGGCTCCCTAAAGTCCCAGAACAGATGGCAAGAGAATAAACTCTATTTGATTGCAGAGGCACAGGCCACCCAGTGTAGCAAAGAAAAGCTACTGACTCACAGGATAACCTAAGTCTCCTTTCCCAAACTCTGGCATGAATCACCAGTTTGCAAATGCTGAAGCAGAACCTGGTGCTTCAGATGCACAGCACGCCCCCAAATAAAGCATAGATGTTAGGGCTTTTACACACAGGGTGGTAGGGCATGATAGGCTCCAGCCCCTTCCCACCAGTCCCTTCCCTGCTGATGCACTTGAGCTTGAATTAGACTGGATTAAAGGCTTATCAGAGCTGGGAGCCTTGCCCCAACTCCCAACTTGAGCCCCAGACCTTCTGTCTCGCAAGTTGAGAAGGACAAGGGTGGAAGGCAGCCACGCAGAAGCCGGGGGTCCTCGGCTTGGCAGTTGGGCTGGCTGCGGCACCTCCATGATGAGAGGATGGGTCCTGCTCCTGTGCACGCTGCTGTGTGGCCTGGCTGGACCCTCGCAGCTATTCCAGCCCAGCCTGGTGCTGGACATGGCCAAGGTCCTCTTGGATAACTACTGCTTTCCTGAGAACCTCATGGGGATGCAGGCGGCCATCGAAGAGGCCATGAAGAGCCAGGAGATTCTGAGCATCTCTGATCCCCAGACTCTGGCACAGGTGCTCACAGCTGGGGTACAGGGCTCCCTCAATGACCCGCGCCTTGTCATCTCCTATGAGCCCAGCAACCTGGAGGAGGTGCCTCGGCAGGCCCCGGCACTCAGCAACCTGACCCATGAGGAGTTGCTGGCCTGGCTGCAGAAGAGTGTGCGCCACGAGGTCCTGGAGCACAACGTGGGCTACCTGCGGGTAGACGACCTCCCAGGCCAGGAGGTGCTGAGCAAGCTGGGTGGCTTCCTGGTGACTCACGTCTGGAGACAGCTCATGGACACATCCTCCCTCGTGTTGGATCTCCGGCACTGTACTGGGGGCCACGTCTCTGGCATCCCCTATGTCATCTCCTATCTGCACCCAGAAAACACGGTCCTACACGTGGATACCATCTACGACCGCCCTTCCAACACCACCACGGAGATCTGGACCCTGCCTCAGGTGCTGGGAGGGCGGTACAGCACCGACAAGGACGTGGTGATCCTGACCAGTGGCCGTACAGGGGGTGTGGCTGAGGACATTGCTTATATCCTCAAGCAGATGCGCAGGGCCATCGTGGTGGGCGAACGCACAGTGGGAGGGGCCTTGGACCTGCAGAAGCTGCGTATAGGTCAGTCCAACTTCTTCCTCACTGTTCCCGTGTCCAGATCCCTGGGGCCCCTGGGCGGGGGCAGCCAGACGTGGGAGGGCAGCGGAGTGTTACCCTGCGTGGGGACACCAGCCGAGCAAGCCCTGGAGAAAGCCCTGGCCATCCTCACCCTGCGCCGTGCCCTGCCCGGCATGCTCCATCGCCTGCAGGAAGCTCTACGGGAATACTATACACTGGTGGACCGCGTGCCAGCTTTGCTGCAGCACCTGACCACCATGGACTTCTCAGCAGTGGTCTCTGAAGAAGACCTGGTTTCCAAGCTGAACGCTGGGCTGCAGTCTGTGTCGGAGGACCCTAGGCTCCTGGTGCGCACTGTGGGAACCAAAGAAAACACTCCTGGGCTCGAGGTGGCTGGAGCAGAGGACCCTCTGGAAGCAGCCCCCACTGTGCCTGAGGGCGAGGTCGCCCGGCAGGTGCTGGTAGACTCTGTGTTCCAGGTGGCAGTGCTGCCTGGCAACGTGGGCTACCTGCGATTCGACAGGTTCGCTGACGCCTCTGTGCTGGAGGCCCTGGGGCCCTACGTGGTGCGCCAGGCATGGGCACCGCTTCAGGATACCGAACACCTCATCATGGACCTACGCCACAACCCAGGCGGGCCATCCTCTGCCGTGCCCCTGCTGCTCTCCTACTTCCAGGGCCCCGAGGACAGCCCCGTGCGCCTCTTTACCACCTACAACCGCCGCACCAACATCACACAGGAGCATCTGAGCCACAAGACACTCCTGGGCCCACGCTATGGCCACCAGCGAGGGGTGTACCTGCTCACCAGCCACCGCACCGCCACGGCTGCTGAGGAGTTCGCCTTCCTCATGCAGTCGCTGGGCTGGGCCACGCTGGTGGGTGAGATCACGGCAGGCAATCTGCTGCACACATGCACGGTGCCACTGCTGGACACGCCCCAGGGTGGCTTGGTGCTGATCGTGCCCGTGCTCACGTTCATCGACAACCACGGCGAGAGCTGGCTGGGTGGCGGTGTGGTGCCTGATGCCATTGTACTAGCTGAGGAGGCCCTGGACAAAGCCCAGGAGGTACTAGAATTCCACCGTAGCCTGGGCACCCTGGTGGAGGGCACAGGGCACCTGCTGGAGGCTCATTATGCAAGGCCTGAGGTGGTGGGGCAGACCAGCGCCCTGTTGCAAGCTAAGCTGGCCCAAGGTGCCTACCGCACTGCTGTGGACCTGGAGTCGCTGGCCTCGCAGCTCACAGCCGACCTGCAGGAGATGTCCGGGGACCACCGCCTGCTCATGTTCCACAGCCCCGGGGAGCTGGTGGCTGAGGAGGTGCCCATGCCTCCCCCCGCCGTCCCCTCCTCAGAAGAGCTCTCCTACCTCATCGAGGCCCTGTTCAAGACCGACGTGTTGCCTGGCCGGCTGGGCTACTTGCGTTTCGATGCTATGGCCGAGCTGGAGACGGTGAAGGTCATTGGGCCACAGCTGGTACAGCTGGTGTGGCAGGGGCTGGTGGACACGGCGGCACTGGTGGTGGACCTGCGCTACAATCCTGGCAGCTACTCCTCAGCCGTGCCGCTGCTCTGTTCCTATTTCTTTGATGCTGAGCCCCGCCAACACCTCTATTCCATTTTCGACCGGGCCACCTCCCAGGTGGCTGAGGTGTGGACCCTGCCCCAGGTGGCCGGCCAACGCTACAGCCCCCAGAAGGACCTCTACATCCTCATGAGCCACAACAGTGGCTCAGCCGCTGAGGCCTTTGCCCACACCATGCAGGACCTGCAGCGGGCCACAGTCATTGGCGAGCCCACAGCAGGAGGGGCACTCGCTGTGGGCATCTACCAGGTGGGCAGCAGCTCCCTGTATGCCTCTATGCCCACCCAGGTGGCTCTGAGTGCCACCACCGGTGAGGCCTGGGACCTGGCAGGCGTGGAGCCTGACGTCACAGCCCCCATGAGCGAGGCCCTCTCCACGGCCCAAGACATAGTGGCCCTGCGTGCCAAGGTGCCCACAGTGCTGCAGACAGCCGGGAAGCTGGTGGCCGACAACTATGCCTCCCCAGAGCTGGGAGCCCAGATGGCTGCCAAGCTGAGTGGCCTGCAGAGCCATTACTCCAGGGTGACCTCAGAAGCTGCTCTGGCTGAGATGCTGGGGGCTGACTTGCAGATGCTCTCAGGGGACCCGCACTTGAAGACAGCCCACATCCCTGAGGATGCCAAGGATCGCATTCCAGCAATTGTGCCCATGCAGGTGAGACACTGGGGAGACCTAGCTGGGCCTGAGGACCCGAGAGTGCGTTGACCAGTTGTCTGCACATGCCGAGCATTGAATTTATCTCTGTATTTTGGTTTCTTTCTGGCACCTCTTTCCCCCCACTTCTCTCTCTGTCTTCCCATCTGTTACTCTCACCCTCACACACCTCTACATAGTACTTGGACTTGCAGGAGCCCAGTGTGAAACTCCCCTGGGACAGAGAGAAGAATTTTCATCTTAGCAGGTGCATGGCAGGTGTTTGCAGGGGAGAGACACCACCTAGTTGTAATTCTTCCTCTGAAAATGTGAGGCTCCCCTTGCCTGCCTTGCAATGTGTGTGAGTGCTGAGGCCCCAGCCTCCCAGCTGCCTATAGCATGCAGTCTGGAACCATGCCCTGTACTGGTCACGGGGGTGGCCAAGTCTGCTTTAGGGAGGAGCCACCAACTGCCTATCTCCTTCTCTCCCACAATGCACAGGGCAGCATCCCCAGAGAGGCGGAGCCCTTTCCAAGGACAAGCTGGATGGGAACTTCAGGTCACTATGGTCAACAAGGCTGAGTGACTGTCAGGAGGCTTTGAAATGGCACCCCCAGCACCAGCCCAAAAGTCCCCTTTAGAGCAGTAGCTGAGTCTTCTTCCAGTCTTCTTCCAGTCTTCTCCTCTGCAGGGTCCCAGCAAGCCAGGTAGGACAGCACCAGCCCTGGTTCCCTTGAAAGGAGGCCCCGGGTAGAAAGTAGGCATTTTCTACCCGGATGTTGGCGTAGGTCCTCCCTGACTCCCTTGGCAGCATTAGTGCCCTTTTGCCTGCACTTACGCACATTCTGGTGGTGACCCTGTCTTACCATTGGCCACCCTTCCAGATCCCCTCCCCAGAAGTCTTTGAGGATCTCATCAAGTTCTCCTTCCACACCAATGTGCTGGAGCACAACATTGGCTACCTGCGCTTCGACATGTTCGGGGACTGCGAGCTGCTTACCCAGGTCTCTGAGCTGCTGGTGGAACACATCTGGAAGAAGATCGTACACACCGATGCTGTGATCCTTGACATGAGGTCGGTGAGCCCAGCCGGGAAGGCAGTTGGGGCGAGGGCTGCAGCGAGGGGAAGGGGTGGACCTGGGGATGTGGCAGGGGACCTAGGGGGTCATGGCTACCCACGTAGCAGGACTGCAGCCAGCTTGCCTCCCAGGGTGCTAATTCAGCGGGCCAGCAAGCTCACAATCCTGGTGGGATTGTTTAGTCCTTCTACCGTCTTCCAGTTTGGTAGTGACCCTAAATCTGTAGGGTCCCCGAATTCAAAGGAGGGGGTTGGGGAAGAACGAAGCTCAAAAACGCTGATTCCTGGGCCCCACCCAAGCCACTTGAGTCCGTAGCTCCGGAGAGCAGGCCTGATTATCTGTATATATTTAAAATGTTATTGCACAGTGGTGTGGCAGACTAATCCTCCAACTGCAAGGGCAAGCATCCCATATGTGTGCCACTTTGTGTCCTAGCTGTTGCACTTCTGATCTAGCTCCCTAATAATGGCCTGGGAAAACAGCAGAGGATGGCCCAGGTGCTTGGGCCCCTGCATACATGTGGGAGACCCAGAGGAAGTTCCTGGCTCCCAGTTTCAAACGAACTCAGCTCTAGCAATTGCAGCTGTTTGGGGTGTGAACCAGACCTCTCTCTGTCTCTTCTTCTTTCTCTAAAAATATGCCTTCCAAATAAAAATAAAACTTGTAACATTTTTTTCTGTGTATGTATTTGAGGAGAGAGAGATTGCCAGGCAGGGTATATCCAGTCCAGCTCAGGACTCTGACCAACACAATCACATGATCCTCGGTCATCTCTGGTTGCCTCCTCTCTGGGTAGGCCCCAGTTCGGTGGGTGCCTGAAACTTGAACTTGGGGCTCCTCCTGTTCGTGTGAAAGTCTGAACCACCCTCACTCTAAGACCCTTTCAGATGAACTGTGCCATCCACATTTATTTGAGAGACAGTGAGAAAACTCCTAATTGTCTGGTTCACTTTTCAAATGTACTCAACAGCCAGGACCTGTCCAAGCCCAGGAACTAAAACCAAAGCAGGATCTCCCACATGGGTGTCAGGAGACTGCTGCTTCCCAGGGGCTGCAGGAGCACGAACTTGGAGTCAGGAGCCAGCAGCAGCATCAAATTCAGATCCTCTCTCTGCGCAGTCTCACTGCGTCTTAATGGCTCAGAAAGCCCTGGGCTACAGCTGTGCTCTGCTCAAAGTCCACTTTATCCTTGTGGCTCTAGACACTGAGCCCTGAAGGCAGCAAGGCTGCCCCAGCCTCCCTCCAGGAGAGGCCTCTGATGCATGAGGAACCTCTGGCAGGGGACTTGCAAGGCCACACAGTGGGGTTGACCTGGATGGCCTGAGATGACACAGGTTCTCTCGGAGACCACAGACACATCTCAACACCACGCAGGGCATTTGGACCAAGATGCCTGGTGGGATTTGCAACATCATCACAGGATAGGACTAGGCAAGACAGTGCTTCCCAAAATGCGATCCACTCATGGGCATGGTTAACAAGAGGGGAACACTTGGACCCAAGTTCCTAAGTGCAGGGCTTGTCAGAGCCTTTGGGATCAAAGACTAATGCTGAGTGGCACAGACACAGCAGGGGCATTGGACTGAGACTCCGGCCTCCCCAGGGAGAGCTGGAGGCCCACCTGTGTTTGAGTCAAGCCTCACTCTATGCTCACTTCGCTGCCCCCAGGTTCAACATCGGTGGCCCCACCTCTTCCATCTCTGCCCTGTGCTCCTATTTCTTTGATGAGGGTGCCCCAGTTCTGTTGGACAAAATCTACAGCCGTCCCAATGACTCCATCAGTGAACTCTGGACCCACACTCGGCTCATAGGTGCGTGCGGAGGGTGTCCCTTTCCTGTCGTTTTTCTGGAAGTTTCTAGAAGATTCCAGAAAGGCAGACCTGGGCTCCAAGCAGCAGCTGGAGAATCCAAGGGGGTCCCTGATCTCCCTTCCTGGGTGCATATCCTCTCCCTTCCCCTCCCCTGCCTTCCATGCAAATCCTGGAGACCTGTAGCAGAAAGCACCTGGAGAGACCCACAGGAGTGGGGAGGGGTGTCTTTGATGAGAAAAACACTCCTGGTTTCATCCCCCCTCCCTTATCCCAGTGCATATGCCTCAAAACACTGCAAAACAGAAAAAGTCAGAACCAGGCCAACTCTAAATTCAAATTCACGTTCAAGGCCAGAGTTGAAAATAAATCCACCCACCATGAGGTCTTTGAGCTGTAAGGTATGGCCTGGTAGGTGCCAGCCACCCATGGCTGCTGAGCCCTTAAAATGTAGTTGGGATTTGGAAGGGTTACTTCTGACTGGGCAGATGAGGCCTCCCTAATGCTGTCCTTCTAAAAGGAGAAAGGAGCATCCTTTGAACAACGGCCTCGGTTAGCTCCCACAACACTGGCTCACGTCCCGGCTCTGCTGAGGGACCAGGGCCACCGGGTTCAGGTGCCACCGGGTATTACCCTGCCCCCTTGCCCGGGACAGTTCTCAGACGAATGCTTGTCTTGGGCATTCATTATGTCCCCCACCTCATGAATGCCCAAACTGGAGCTCAGTGGGGCTCAGACGGCTTGCACCTGCACCCCAGGATGCAGAGAAGTCCCTTCTGTCTTCCAGGGGAACGCTATGGCTCCAAGAAGAGCCTGGTCATTCTGACCAGCAGCTTGACGGCCGGAGCTGCAGAGGAGTTCACCTACATCATGAAGAGGCTTGGCCGGGCCCTGGTCATCGGCGAGGTGACCAGCGGGGGTTGCCAGCCGCCGCAGACCTATCACGTGGACGACACCCATCTCTACATCACCATCCCCACAGCGCGCTCTGTGGGGGCCGCCGATGGCAGTTCCTGGGAAGGGGTGGGTGTGACTCCCCACGTGGCTGTTCCTGCAGACATGGCTCTCGTCAAAGCCAAGGAGATGCTGCAGCGCAGCCTGGCCAGGGAGAGGCAGAGCCCCAGCCCATAGGGCCACACAGCAGGAGGGCTGCGTATGCATAGCCCCAGGGCTAGGGCAGGTGCCACCTCTGAGCCCACAGCCCCACCTGAGGTTTCAGAGGCCTGCCTAGCCATGGAGACCCTCTGGAGCCCCCTCCCTGCTGCATACCCCTTTCAGGACCCCTGGAGATGGGAGCTCAGCCCTTCCCCTCTTCAAGAGCAATATTCCTGCATGGTTACTTGAAGGAGGTGACCTCCTGACTTCCTGGTCCCTGATGGTCACATCATGGCCCCACCAGCTCTGTCCCCTAGGCAGATGTCCCTTGACATGCGCCTGGGTTAGGTACCGACACACCCACTGCACGTTGAGCAGCCTGTTGCAAAGCTCTGAGTTGTTCAGTAGAGGATTTGCTCTGTCCACAGCTGGGCCATTTCAGCGTGCATGCACACACAGCTGGGCTGATTGTGTCTGTCCAGAGCCAAGAGCTGTGCCAGCTGTGGGGACTTGATGCCTCCAGCCCAGCTCCGTGTCACCAGCATTTCATGGCATCCATGGTGTCAGGCACCTGTGCTGAAGGCCTGGGCTGAGACCGTTGGGCCTGCTGCCCCCTGCCGTCTGACCCGCCTGTACAGCACATCTCTCTGTGAGCGTCATGCTTTCCTTACCATGCTCTGAAGGCCACAGTGGCAGGCGCTATCCCCCATCAAGCTCCACAAGGCAGCTGTGGTGGGGATGGGGTGCACAGTGAGCACAGGGGAACATTGGGATGCCCAGAACCAGTCCTTTGTGTGCAGCTGTCAGATCCCCGGAAGAGCTGGTAGGGGTGAGACTGGGACCAGACCTCCTGGATGGTTGGGTAGGGATAAGGCTTTGTCACTTGCGTGGCTTCTCCCAGAACAAAGGCCTGGCCTCCACAGCGCCCTCTACAGACAACAGAGAGCTGAGACACCTGGGAAAACCACCTAGCAGGAGTTTTCATGGTGACCACCATGCCCAAACCCAGCTTGATCAAGGAGATGACTTCATTTCAGTCCAAAACTCTCCTGCTTACATTCAAACAGGATGTGTGACCTCATTCCTTTTCTTCGTTAGACCTACTAGCTTCTTCCCCATAGCCCCTCATCCATGTGGCTATCTGATGATCACCCACATTTTTACGATTCCCTCTGGGTGGTAGAGTTTAGAATGACACTGTCATCTTTATTCATCCTACTTTGCTCTTAAACCCCCATCACAAGCCTTTATCCATCCTTTTCACATACAGCAATGTTCCCCAAAATAAAACTCGTCAGCCAAGGAAAGGAACTGGCCCACTAGTCATGACTTGTGGGATCAGCAGCACTTGTCCTTTGCCCCCGGGGTTTCCTCCCCTATCGTCCACACATCCTCCTGAGGCAGCAATGCTGGCCTTTGCAGGCAACAGAGTTGGCTGAAGGTGTGGATGAGCAGACGGCAGAGATCTGGTCAGATGGGCCAGGGCCTAGACATGGCTCTCTCACCCAAGCCTCAGGCTTGTATGCATTCATTTTTTAATCACAATATTGAAATACCTATGTGGGCATTAGCTTATGCAGGAGATAATTCTGGAGCCTCAACAGCCAGCCAACCTGCCCAACGTGGGCTCATGTGAGGACCCCTGTCCCATCCTCAGCTCTTTCGGCCATGTCACTCTGCGACTGGGATGAGGCAGCCACATTGCTACACAGGAAGCAGAGGACCCTGGCTCCACCCCTCCTGAGGACCAGCTCTCACCACCCCGCTGACCTAAGGACCACCCTCCCTCCCAGTGCTCCCCTGCCCCATGTCCAAATCACAGCATGGCTGCCTGGACAACAACTCATCCTTCTCAGTGGGCATCCATCCTCCATCGGGTGACCCAGTACTTGCACCAAGTCCCTGGTCCATGGTCATCAAGAGGGAGACACAGGGAGCTCAGGGCCTGGCATCAGCCTGTGTGAGCGGGGCCTCAGGTGTCCCAACTATTTTAGGAAAAAGACAATGAGACAAATGAACAACTCAATGCAGTCCCCAGCCCGTGTGAGCCATTGTCATTTCTGCCTATTACAAAGCCCTGAAACTTATTCCTTCAACCACCCCCGGAAGCGAGGGCTGAAGCTCAATTTGCAGCAAGCATCCAGGGACAGGGCTCAGCGGGGCCAGCCACAGTATCATCTTCCAGGGGTGGCTCTCAGTTGTGACTCTGGCTGTGGTCCCAGCAGAATGGTGGCCCACTGTCCAGCCTGGTCCCCCTGGATACAGCCCAGGCTCCTTCGAGCCCTTTCTTCTCCCTTTGGCCAAAGACTAGACGTCCTCCCGGTGGATAGCCTGGTCTGGTGCCGCTGCCTCAGGGGCAGTTGGGAGGTGAACCACATTTGCTTAGCTGCAATGCCCTGCTCTTTCTCCCACATCACCCGCACTTCGTCTGAGATAGGGAAGCAGAATCCCTAGCCTTGTGCATAGACAAATGAGAGGCTGACCTTGCCACAGGCCAGGCTTCTTGCAAATCCACCTGCTTGCAGACAGAAGATAAAATCTCACCAGGCCTCTCGTGGTGGGCACACCTGTCTGGACAGCAGCCACCTAGAGCCGTGGGCTCTGGGCTCCTTACCTCTCTCTGCCCGCATCTGAGGCCTCTGTGAAGCAAAGTTGGCTCTGCCTCTTAGATCACACTTCACACACAGCTGTACCCACCTCCAAACATCCCAATTCTCTCTTCTTTCTTCCCCTACCAGCCTCAGGGGACCAATGGTGGTGGGTTGCTAACATTGCTTTGTCCCGGGCCCAGCCTGCCATCCCCTCTTCTTGAGCCTGGGGTCCTAGCTAGGTACCTCAACACCTCCCATGGCTCCTACCCTTCTCTGGCCCTGACCCCCGGTGAGGGGCACGTCCCCTCCAGAAGGCGCTGCCATGTGATGCAGACATGTTCCCCGGCAGGACCAAGCAAGTGGGCAGTGGTCAGGGTGTCAAAGCACCCCAAAGAGACCAACGGGGCCCCATGGCGCTGATGCACCTGACAAATGACCCCAAAGGTGCTTGTGGGGACACAAAGCAGCTCTGCAGGGTAGGACAGGACTTACCTGTTGTCCTCCCTCAATACCCAAACCTCAATGTTTGACTATCAAGGGCCAGACCATGCTGCAGAAGGTGTATGTTGGACCATCACTTTCTCTCCCTAGCCAGGAACTGACCATGCAGGGCCAGGGTGGCCATGCTCCAGATCCTGGGCTTGCATGTTAACTGTCCCTGGCCAAGCCCAAGCCAGGCAGGACAAGATGTCCCTGCTACAGACATGGGTCCCCGTCCAGGACCAGAGGGGCCAGGAACATAGCAGCCACATGCCACATTCAGAAAGAGACATGACAGTCAGCTGGGCTACCACCTCCCTCACCCCCATCTCACCGTGTGCCTCTCTCTCTCTCACAGCCCCATGGGCAGTGGACAGTCTACAGGGGCCCTGCCTACCGCACAATTGGAATGCAGCGCACAGGTGGCCGCAGAAGGAACAGAGCTGCAGGCCTACACCATGCTGGGTCCCCACCCGGGGCACCCACCTCCCACCTCCTGCTTCCCATGGGATCCAGTCACTGCCTGGTCCCAGGCCCTCCTCTCTGCTGACCTACTGGCCAGCACTAAAAATAGCACGCTAATCCCCGCAGCTTAGGACAGCAAAGGGGTTAGATGGCAGGGGCCTCCCACCTCCTGCCCCAAAGGAAATACAAGGTAGAACAGGAAGGAAGGAAAAGTTTGAAAGACCCCCCTCCGATCCTCTTGCCTCAATCGTCTCCCCAACTCTACACCCTGAATTGGCTGCCTTTAATTCTCATCTCCTAGTAAGTATCACAAATCCAGAGACACCAAGGAAAGCCCCAGCTCTCATATTTTTACGCTATGCAGTGCCAGTGGCATCTGCTACATGATCTTTAGACCCAGTGAGCCACTCTGCAAATGAAAAAGTGTGAAGCCCACTGTAGGAAGAAGCGGCCTGCAGGGCAGCCTGCGGCCTCCAGGTGGCGTCCTAACCTCTCAAGGGAGCCAGGCGATGGACTTCTACCCCTAATCCTGCCCTACAGGGAGAGGACGCATGAGTAGGATCTGAGGGGCCGGGCAGCATTCTCGAATTTTCTCACTATGCTTTCTTCCTCATGACTTACGTAAATGAGTGATAATTATGTGTGGAATCATTCTATCCATGGGGAGTGCAAGGTACCACATTACTCCCACCACCACCACCACCACCCTTCTCAGGGCTGCCTGTGGAGCACAGGTGAGCTCCACTGTCAAAGACTAGCCATCTACAGGGGTTGTAACCTTGACCTTACTTACCATCACCTGCCCTGCAGTGCAGAGCAAGTTGGCTCATGCCTACATAACCTCAGAGTCTACTGCCAAAGCCAGGGGTGTAGACCAGAAACTGCAAGTCTCTTTTAATTCTAAGCATCGGTTGTGTCCACATGCATTGTTCCCTTTCCAAGAGACTTTACCAGAATCATAGGGCAATTGGATAAGTCAGGGAAAAAGTCTGTGTGCACTTGACAGATGCCAAAAAACCCGATGAAGAAGCTGACTAGACATCTGGCAGGTGCAAAGCCAGAACACGACATTCCATTTACAGATTCATCCACTCAATAACTGTTAAATGCCTGTCAGGCGCCTATGGTGTCACGGACACTAAGGATGCAGTAGCAAACAAAACAGCAAAAACAAACAAACAAAAAGACCCTCCCCGAGTCTACCTACCAGTGCAAGAAGACACAGTAGACCAGCTAAAGCAATGAGACAGCAAGCAAGATAATCAGTGTACAGGAAGCTCTGAGCAGGTGCGTTCACATCTATGCAGTAAAGGGTGTAAACTGGATGCCACATAGAGAGGCTGCAGGCAACCCCCAGTCTCCGCCTCGGATGCCACATTCCCAGGCTGGTAGAGTTGAAACAGAGGCCAGTACACTCAGCTCATACCCACACCCAGGTCCTGGTCCCTGCACCATGGCCCCCAAGGCAATGGCCCCAAGTGGGGGGTCGTCTTCACTTGGAACTTGGCTTCTTCTGCAGGGATGAGAACAGCCTCCCACTTGTTCTGCTTGGGATTAGGTGGGGAGGGTGAAATGACAGCAGGAGGATTTGCCCCCTGCAAAGTGACTCAGGTAGTGGCATGAGATGTGCCCAGGTATCCAAGCCAGCCTACCCACATTTTGGTAGAGTCAAAATCCTAGCTGCCACTGGGACCGCGCCAGTCCCCCATCCCCAGCTCCCCTCCCAGCCAACAGAAGGCCCAGCTGAGAAGTATGCACCAAGTTCTTGCTCATCCCAAGCCTGCAGTGCCACTGGTGCACACACTGCTGGGCACCAGAATCCTCAGGTCTTGCAGCAGGCAGCCCGCTGGCCAGTCTTCATATCACTGTGCTGAGCCCTTGGCTGCATCCCTAAGACACAGGCACCACCATCTCCCCTTTCACAGGTGAGAAGACCAGGCTTCAGCGGGTTCAGCAACTTGTCCATGGAGGTAGCTGGCAGGTGCGGGGGACAGCAGGTGCAAGGTGCTGCCAAGCAGAGCAGGTAATGGAGCCAGGAGCTGCTGCACTGCCACGCGGCTCAGCCCTGACACGCTGGAGCAGAGAAGGGCATCCTTTCCTCCGGAATGTGCCCCCTGCAAAACCATCCCTAGGTCTGGGCTGTAGACCAGCAGACGCCAAGGATGCGGGCCCTAGAGGCGAGCAGCTGGCTTGCTGCCAGGCCACCTGCTAGCTGTGTGACATCATGTGCCTGGAGAGGTGGTGACGCTCCCGGAAATATTCATGGCAGAAGGGGCAGGTGAGGGCCTCTTCCCTGCGCCTCTTGGCTGGCTGGTCAAGCCCTGCTGCGGGTGCCCTCTTGTGCTGGGACCGCATGTGCACTACCAGGTCGGCTGTGAGGCGGAAACACACGCTGCACTTGGCACAGCGGTTCTGGGTACTCAAGCCTAGGGAAGTGAGCGTGGGTGGCAGGAGAGCCCCTGATGCGGCTGAGGGCCCCAGGGCCTCGTTTAGCTCCAGCCACAGTGCAGGAGTGCCCCGCAGTGCGCTGCAGAGCGCAGCCCTAGGGGGCCAGGTCTGCAAGGTCCACAGGTCGCCCTCCCTGCCAGGCTGAGAAGGAGCGGTCACCCGTGGCCAGCACGGGACGTGTGTAGGGCCCAGCAGTTGGTCAGCCGCAGGCAAGGCGATCAAGGGCCTAGCGCTGTCTGTGGGGTGCTTGCTTGGTTTGCGGAAGGCGCTTCTCTGCTCGCCTCCTTGGGCAAGCCAGGCAGAGCGGACAGTGCCGCCTCCTGGGGCCCTGGACATGGTCCAGGTCAGGTGCAGGGCATCCTCCTGCCGCCTCTGTTGCACCCGACTCGGGTGCAGCGGTGGCAGCTCCAGGAAGGCGCTCTGCCTCTGTTCCCCACGTGCCTTTGGGGACACCTGCTGGCCCACTCTGGTCTTGCCCTCAGCTCCCTGCGGGGCCAGCTCTGTGGAGGTCAGGTCCTGGGAAGCCAGGTGGTTTGTCTTCTCTAACAACACTGACCTGCGGCCCAGGTCCTGGCCCTGACTGTGACCGGATTCGCTAGGTGGTCCGAGGGTTTCAGCCGGAGGAGGGCTAAGTGCCACTTCCTTCGCTGCAGCCATGGGGAGCAGCAAGCCTGGGCAGGCTGGACCTGGTTGAGGCTCCCGCACTGGCGTCAGTCTGGTCTTCAGGGCTTGGGACAGAAGAGAGGCCTGAGATGGAAGTGGGCCCTGTGACAGCTGCGCGAGGACACAGGAGGGGCTCTGCAGAAAGAAAAGGCAACAGAGGGACAGTGGGTGGCAGATGAGGGGGTCCTGTCCCCCTCCCTCCCTCCTCATTCCTCCCCTCTCCCTTCCCTCCCTGTCTCCCCCCTCCCCTCCCTCTCTGTCTTCCCCTCCCACTCTCCCCTCCCTCCTTCTTTCTCAGTCCTCTATCCTGCCCTCTATCTCCTCCATTCTTCTCACTCCCCTCCCCATCCCTCTCTTCACCTCTCCTCCTTCCCCTCTTTCTCCCTGCTTCCTGCCTCTCTCACCCCTCTCCCTGCTTCCCCATCTCCTACTCTCTCCTTTCTCCCTTCCCCCTCCTTCCCACTCTCCTTTCTCCTCTCTCCCCCTCCTCCCTCACTTTCCCCCACTTTCTTCCCCTTTCTCCCTCTTCTCTCTCTCCCTCCCTCTGTCCTTCTCTCTCCCCATCCCTCTTCTTTTTTCTCCCTCTCTCTTCCCTTGTCTCCCCCTCCTCCCCTCTCTTCCTCTCCTCTTCTCATTCCCTCTCCTTTTCTTCCTCTTTCTCCTCCCTCTCTCCTCTCTGTTCCCCCCCCTTCCTCCCTCCCTCCTTCCTTGTCTCCTTCCTTCCTCCCTGTCACTCTGGGTCTGACATCTGTTGACCATGATATTGGCTGGGTCCTACACAGCACAGTGGTGTCTTCCAAACTCACTCCTGCTCCGTGAGTTTGCATCCCTGGCCTACACTCAGCCAAGATGGGAGAATCTTTGCCAAATGCTGCAAAACAGGGTTTGCTTTCTAGTTTTGTGGTTTGTTAAGACTCCAGAAAGTGATAAGAAATTTCAGTCACTCAAATTAAACCAGCATTCTCTGCAGCTCTTATGGTGCAAACACCACATTGAAGAGTATGAACTCACCTTCCACCATTCCAAAAATCACCATCTGATTTAGCCAGAGCCATTGGCAAGTAAGTGAAGTCTGGAGTCTGTGTCCATCCGACACCAGATGATCAATGAGAACCCCTCCCAGCATGCGTGTTGGGGCTGCCTGCTGAGAGCCAGTTGCTGAATGCTCCAGAGCACAGCAGAGCATGCACCCCAAATCATTTGGGATGCTGGACACTGGAAAAGGCTGAAACACCCTTCTAGAGGGAGCCACAAAAATGAAAAAGAGAAGAGAAGGCAGAGTAAACTGCACAGACACACACCGGGTGGTAACCAGCCCTCAGGGAAGATTCTGTGGCTTGTCCATGGGGATGATAATCATGAATTCACTCAACAAACAACAGTCTGAAGCAGTCCCCAAGACAGAATAGCATGGAGCTGCAAATCCGTTCAGTGAGAGAGGAAAACACAAGAGCACTCATTATGCTTATGGAAACCTGCATGATTGGAACAGCACTGTAGCACAGCAGGTTAAGTCATTGCAACATAGCGTCCTATGTGAGAGTGCTGGTTCAAGTCCCAGCTGTTCTTCCCATCCAGCTCCCTGCCAGGGCACCTGGGAAGCAGCAGCAGATGACCCAAATACTTGGGCCTCCTGCCACCTAGGTGGGAAATTCAGATGGATTTCCTGGCTCCTGGCATCATCCTGGCCCAGATTCATCCACTGTGGCCAGTAAACCAGTAAATGGAAGATTCCTACCTCTCTGTTATTGTGCCTACAAAATAGATAAAATATTAAATCTTTTTAAAGATTTATTTATTTATATTGGAAAGTCAGATTTACAGAGAGAAGGAGAGAAAGAGAAGGATCTTCTATCCTCTGGTTCATTCCCCAGGTGGCCACAATGACTGGAGCTGAGCCGATCCAAAGCCAGGAGTCTTGAGTCTCCCTCCTATGCAGGTGTAGGATCCAAAGGCTTTGGGCTGCTTCTCCTGCTTTCCCATGCCAGAGGGAGCGAGCTGGAAGGGAAGGGAAACAGCTGGGACAGGAATCGGCGCTTGTATGGGATCCTCGCACATGCAAAGAAGGACTTTTTAGTCACTGGACTACTGTGCTGGGCCCAAAATATTAAATCTCTTTAAGAAGGTCTGCATTGCTGAGAGGGGAATGGATGGTGCAGTCCAGGGGTGGATAGTTACTGGTCGCATGCTGTATGGCGGGGCCCAAGAAGGCCCTATGCAGGGGGTGACATTAGTGTGGATGTTGATAGATGGAACTGGTGTTTGCCAAGCAAGCACAGTAACACGGCCCAGGCAAAGAAGTCCTGGGTATATGTCTGCCATAAGGAGCAGGCTGAGGAGCAGGAGCCCATGTAGCCCCAACAAAGCCTGGTCAGCCCCAACTACACATCAGCTCCAATGAGTGGGGTCAAGGAGGAAAATGCAGGGAGACTGTACAGACCTGGTATCTTCTGGCTCCCTGAAGCAGCTCGGCCCTGTCTCTCCCAGCTCCCTCTGACATGGTCATCTGCCACTATCTTCTGACTCATTCCTGCTCAGCTAAGAGAGACAGTTTTCTCCTTTGTGGCTTGTATTTCAGGAACCCTGACAACACTGGATGTGACACCTGGCCCCAACTTGGAGCACTGTGCCTGCAGGGCTGTGTGGGGAGGAGTGACATACACACACACACACACACACACACACACACACACACGACTTCAAGAAAGTTCAAGGGAATGTGTATTGTGGGGGAAAAAAGGTGCATCCAACTCAATTTTTGCATTATTCTTCCTTTTTCTTTTCTTTTTTTTTTTGTGGAGGGCAGAGAGATAGTATATATGAAACAGATCTGCCACCCACTGGTTCACTCTCCAAATGGCTTCAGCCTGCAACCAGTCTCCCATGTGGGTGAGTGTCACCTGTGCTTCCTGTGCTGTACCTGAGCAGGAAGCTGAACTGGCAGCACAGTCAGTAACCAAGGTGTGAACAAGGCACTCTGATGTGATATGGGTGACTGATGTACCATACAAAACGTTCAATCCCTCAAAATTTTCTGGGAAAAATGAATTTCACTTTGAATTCCACATCTACATTAACTTTTAGAAGTTGCCTTGGATACATACCTAGACACACTAGGGTTGATTTTCCTAAGAAAGGAGATGAACTTGATGGTCAGGCATCCCTTGACCTAAACACACTGAGAAAATAGAATTTAGGGTGGGTGGTCCTGGCTTTTCCAGAGGCTGGTTGGTGCCACAGGTCATGGCCCATCCAGCCATGTATACCACTGCTCTAGCAAGCAATGCCTGCTGGGCTCAGGCAAAGCCAAGTGCAGGGTTCATGCATCTGCAGAAGTGAAGCCAGTGAGAGCAGAGGGGCAGAAACATGGCTTCAAAGGGGCCTTGATGAGAACTTGGGGTCAGCTATGGTCAAGGAGGGCCAGGACATGAGAAAGGGCAGTGATGTTCCAGCAGACCCTGTCAACAGGCAAATCAAGGGTGCCTGCAGGAATTTCTGGCAGGTGCTGGAGCTTCAGTACCATGGACAGTCACCTGGCAGTGCTGAAGTCTTAGGTTGTGGTCAGTGTGGGCCATCGCTAATGATGTAACCTTAGGACCTTAGTTTCCAGGTAAGTATAGCGTGGGTAGGGCTCTTCACCCCAAAGTGCTAAGTGGGGCTGTGGAAACACGTGACTTACAGACAGCCGTCTCCCCTGCAGGGGCAGCCTCCAGGGGTTACATAGCTATCTACTCAGTCTGACCCTCCCAGAGGCCCACAGCAGTGGCCCCCAAAGAAAGAAGGGTGACCACTTTCTTACAGACATGCAATGCAGACTACTTAGAGAAGGGATATAAGTTCTAAAGCACTTCCCCTCAAGTTTTTTTTTTTCTTCTAAGTTCTGTTTTTAAAGAGTTGTCACCTCAGGAATTTCTGGTAAAGAAATCTGCTAAGCACAACAGAGCCGAGAAGGCGCAACCCCTAAGCTCAGCCTTTCCACGCAGAATTCTGATATAGGGAGGTTAGAGGTCGGTTGACACACCGGCCCATTTAAGCCTACAGAGTCCCAAATCCAATTTCCATGCACAAACCTCAGGACCTGCCCCAAACCCTCTGACCTAACAAGCAGATTTTTTTTTCTCTACTCAACACTCTCTCTTCTTCCTCTACACCTCTGTGGGGTTCATCTATTTCCTATCCGCATCAAGTGAAAAGTAAAATTAGCCGAGTTCTTGACAAAGATCCCATCAAACTACACCAGGCTCATTGTCTTGGACCAACTGACCTCTTTAAAAACAAGCAAGGATTCTTTTAGTAACAATGCATGCTTGATGTGTGTATCTGAAATACAGATATAGCGTCAACCATAAAATGAAATGTCGGACAAGACTGAATTGTAACAAGGCACAAAGCGTGCCTCTGCACAGGCTGCGTTTCCTTCATTCCTCTGTAGTGAATGAGAATTGTTTTTGAGATCTCTTTCCTTAGACAATGTCTGATACTATGTCAAGCTCTTTTACCACTGGAGTCCTCCCACGTAATGTATACACAAATGCCCATTTCAAATGCCACGATTATTTTGCTGTGAAACGTCACACACCTCAAGGAACAGTAACTGTACAACGTCCGTGCCTGAACAGCATTGACAAACTTACTGTTTAGAAACTGTGACTTTCCTATTTCTATGTCCTCCCCCAGCCAAGCTTGGGTCATGCCCCACCCCACCCTCCCTCCAAAAGGCACTGCACAGGCTGCCCAGGAGGCTGGTGTAGGCAGCGATGTCCCAGAATGTCCCAGAATGTCTCCATGAGGACTCGCTTCCTGCAATGCTGTCCCTGCATGTTAGCAATGCCAAGAGCCAACTAAACCTGGGTCTCCCAAAGACGCTTCTTGTTCACAGATTTTTTTTTTCCTTCTTTTTAGCCCGAGCGGTTTTTTTTATCCTCCCGTCCCCCTCCCCGCAGCAGCCACTGAACGGGCGATTTGCCCAGCTCTCTCAATACAATCTATGGGGA